AAGTTTTAATTGGACTAGTTACTAGTTGGTGCGGAGATATGAGATTGTTCGGATAAGAAATTAAAGTTTATTAAGCGAGGTTTGGCTAATACTATTTTCGTGTTTCAGAATAAACTTTAAGTCTAGCGAGATTAAACCAACTATCCAAATTAGCTGGAATTGCAACATTACAGGAATCAGAATCGGATTTGATGCTTTCGGTTGACGGGAACTAAAATTGGATTCGTGCTAAGTAAATGTTATTGTTCAATACTGTATTCATATTGATAAATAGAGAAGAAATTTGACACGGACATTTAGAATGATGAATATCCTGTTGGAAAAATGAATAACGATCAAATCCAATAAAATATTGATGTTTCTATAATACTTTACAAGGTATGCATATTTTTACCTGTAGCAAATATTGCAAAGAATTGCCTCAAACTATAATCAATACCAATACAGTAACAAGATTATTGTGTGGTATTACGTAACATACTTTAATTATTATTGTAAACAAATCAAACAGACTTTTTGGACATTTTGAGCTGTCTAAGACCTTGCAAAGCTAAAATTTATTTTGAATTTAAAATATTTAAAAAACTTATTTTAAAACTATTTCACCTAAATTTAGCTTATTTTAAAACTAATCTTTGGTCCCACTGCGAACACCCAATGTCAAAACGCATAAAAAATAATATGAATAAAATTGTTATTCATATTATTTTATTGCGTTTTTATTACCCCCACCACAGAAAACCAACAGTCTAAGCGAATTTCCATTTTCTTGGCTGGATTTATACTAAAATATTCCCTTAAAATTGTCAGATTTATTTCCTATTTAATTAATTAACTTTAATGTTAAAGACTACTTAGGTTTGCTGCTACAGGGAAAGTAATGAGGTGTGTAGTGTTTTTATTAAATGTTGATAGCTTAGAATTAAATAAACAAATTTGACAAATTGTATTAAAAATATATCCATAAACAAGCAAACTACAACAGTTTATTTATTCTCCATAAGAATAACATGAACATTTTTAATTTTTTTTTTAATTATCTCCGCAACCGTTCGGCATAGAACAACGCTTCAATATACAAAATTATTTTTTTAAGCTCTACTAAATGGTTCGAAAAGACATTGTGAAGAAATTGTGTGTGCTTTTAGGGTCAAAAAATGGGAAAACTTTTTTACCCCATAAAAAAACCCAGAACCCCCCTTCCCATATTCCAATCTTGCTGATTCGCGAACTCGTTCTAATAAACGTAGGTTTATACGTTTGTACCAAATCTCATCAAAATCAGATAATCTTTTGCGCTAGCGGACATGAAATTGAACGGATGGTGTTTTTGTCCTCTGGGTACCTCAAAACGAAAAAAAAAATTGTCCCGGGTCTAGGTGTTACCATGAGACCTACGGTAATATCTTATTCCCTATTTGGCAAATTCGCTAAAATTAATCGGATTGTTAAAGTTATTTCTCCAAAGACCTATTGTATTATCTTACACTCGTCCTCCAATTGTTACCCTATGTCCTATATCATAATTCTTTATTTGCACTGAGAAGAGGTGAAGTATTAATAGAAAGGAATAGTGCGTAAAAGTAAGTAATAGTTTACAATGTCAATATATGAATCAAGCTTAAAGTATTAATATAAAAATAAACTCATTCAACTAAGAGTATTCATTCTGTCTATTGTAGTTACCATTACAGTTTTACAGTTCTCTGTATGTATTCTGCACATGTTATAACGACTCTTTTCCAAGCAGTTGGCTCGTACATAGTTCTCAGTAAGTAATACTGTACTGTTAATGCTAATGATTATTATTGCTGTAACCCAGAATCCTCATCTTCAAAATGGAAACTTGGTACTTCAGGAGATGAGCTTAGTTTTTATCCTTAGATGTGACTTGTGCACGTACCGTTCACAATTCACCAAGATCAATAATGTGTATTTTGTAAAATATTAGAAGTAAGTTAAGATAAAACAGTACCAGCAAATGAACTTGTACCGGAGCTCTCGCATTTATTACTTTCATCAACAATTAAATGGTCTTTGTTATTAACTAAATTTTTGATGTATCATTTTACGGATCAATTTGATTTATTTGACTGATCTCTTGTGATAGGTTAGGTTAGGTTAGGTCTTCCAGCCTGATGGCCCGGGTTCAAACATAGCTGATCACAAATGGACCATATTATTGCTATATAATGTAGTGGTTCGGCATCCACCTTCATAAGTAAGTACGTTACCCAATTAACGAGAGACATGTCCTATTTAGAACTATATTTTACTAAGCGATGAGAAACTCCTCTGTACCGAGGAACTCACCCCACTAAAAACCATGCATAATATGTATTGATTTTAAATAAAACTAAAAACAATTCGTTTAATAATTTTCTCAGGATGTGTTGCATCGATGGGGTAATAGTTAAATTAATATCGAACGATGTTGCTTATAAACAACTGTATCAAGGAGCATCGTCTGAATCTAGATATGCACATTGATATAGTCTAACTTTAATTAGTTAGGCCATATATTTATACATCGATGGTTCTGCATAACTATAGTCTTACTAGGAGTAGTTTCGTATGAATACAATGAAAGCAGTTTACTTACCTCATTTTATTTACAAAAGATCTCTTCATATCTTCCGTGTTGTTCCTGATGAATGAGGTTCATTCATGAAGCGTCGTTCGTTACCTGCAGTCCTGACAGATCGACTTCGTGGGTGGCTTCGTTAAATAACCACACTTTCACGCCCAATTCCAGATTTTTCAAACAAATTAACGCCGCTAGACACTGGAGATGACTGTAATATCACATCTGTGACAACCGACAGTAAAACAGAAACAGGCTGAAAATACACATATGACTTAGTTCTGTAATACATCATGGCTGTGGCATTTGATGAGTTTGAGAAGGGCTGTTACCATCTGTACTATTATAGATATGTGGCGGTACATTTCCATACGACCTTTCGATAAACATTTATCAATGAATGTGACGGGCCTTCAACACTCTGAGGTGGGCCTAGCATAACACTCGAAGGGTAAATTAATTGATGTACACAATTTGTATCAAATAATTACGGTTTTATAAAAGAAATGGAAAGAGGGGTGCTATGGCACTGAGTGTACCAACCGCATATAATCCTCCACGCAAACCTCCATGAAGACCCCGTAGTATACCAAACTAGAGTAGTATGCTTCCGGCTACACCTCTATGTAACCTCCAATGCGACTCTTCGTGCGCGCCCGACATGATGAATTACATAGATTTACGTTTTACATAGACGTAATACGGTCTCTTCATCTAACCTCCATCCCTCCTCCCTCTATGTCTTCACACTGTGTGACTAACCTAGCAGCTAGTACAAAAAAATATGTGTCTTTTAAAATTGTAAGTTTGCACAAAGAAAAAACGATTGCGTCACAAATATTCTTTAGTACGCAAACTACCTCATATAAGATTTATGAAAACCGTTTCCAAATACAACGTTGAAGCTCACGACCCAAAACTAAAACAGTAGTCCCCTTTCAGAACAGCCGCTCTAGGAATGCAGCGGTCGTTTACACATCTTGAATCTAACTTATCGCCTGATTCGGCAGTAAATCCTTTGCACAAACAGTCGTGGCCGATGCACTTCTAAATATCTCCCAACATAAAACAATCTCTGGAGCCATACCGTGCGATCTTCCCCAAATAACGGCCCTAACTTAGCCTGTAATTATAAACAGCTTGTCACCCATCAGAGCAAGAGAGAGATAGAGGTGACAAACGCCAACAATTGCCCCCTGGGACTACAAATCTGTCCGATGCTCAACTTATGGACTGTCTGATCCTCTGAGATTTATTTATTGTCACGATGTCCAATTATATACGTGTGTCGTTCCGATTTATCTCTACAATATTTAGAGCTATCATGGACTACAATGAATGTATGTTTTATCGATGATGCTAGTAGACTCATAGATGAACTACAGTAAACAGATTATTCCTATTATATTAAAAAGATTATTATTATAAGTTCAAAGAATTTTTTATTGAGCCCATTTATCACTTTAAAAGGAAAGTAATCTAAACCCAAACTTAATTTTTGTGAATATATCGAGGTCCCTTCTTGCCCCAAAGACTACTACAGTATACAGGCTAGCAACACACCCCATACTGTTCATACTGTTGTTGATGTGTTTTTCATGTCCGATTTACTTTTGACTACGTAGATATTGATGTTGATACAGTATCTTATTTTAGGGTAAGTTTACAGTCCTCTTTACTCTTTGGCACTTCATAAAAAACAAGTTATAATACATGAATACATTCATTTATTTTGTAAAATAGTCTTTAGCTGATAAAAAAACAAGAAATAAATTTTTAAAATTGAATGGCTTATACCATATACCTGGCAGACACTTATATCTTAAAATTGACGACAAATCTACATGGGAGTATTTAATATAAAGCAGAACAATCCCCTAGTTTGTTTTATAAGTTAACCATGAACACATCTTACACACGAGCAATGTTATATGCATTTCATTTCAATTTATTTTTTGTTTCAAAACTGTTGAAATAACAAGAAATATAGGCCTACAGATTAAACACGTATTAATACAAACTGGAAAGAAATTAATCTTTTAAGTTTTCTTCGGCTGGTACGTATAGATGAAGAATGTATGGGAGCAATATATAATTTTGTTAAAAAAAGTTAACTTACACCTATCAAGAAACCAATTTCACGTTGGGGTTCGGTATTCCAGTGAAAAAATTATCTTTTCTACACTCCACTCGCGAAATTTTTGGTAAAACACGTCTAGTTGCTTTACATTGGTGCTGTAACCATTGATTATGTAACAATGACAAAACCCTTCAACCCACCATGTATTGTAAATTATTGACTCCATTCATTCTAACCTGATTGCCTTTACTAACACCTGTCTATTAAATATCCTTTAAGCCTGGCAATTAGTAGGATTATTAAACGTCAAAATGTTAAACAGCTGTGTGATTAAAAACAATGCAACATAAATACCGACTAACTGTGATATTCAGTTTTATATCTAAATATCAGTGCGTGTTACATTAATATAGTGTTTTCACGATGGAAATTATGAGAAAATTGTCTAATTTATTAGATTCTATGCTAGATGTGCATAAAAAGAGAACCAGACTGATGATTAATTACGTTGCGATCGCGAAACTGAATGGAGCTTTAGAATGTCTAGGTAAGTTTGCCAATTTGGCATTTTAGCGAATTTCCCATATAGGGAATAAGCTATTACCGTAGTACTCATGGTAAGACCTGGACGCGGGGCCGATTTTTTTTCGTTTTGAGGTTCCTAGAGGCCAAAAACACCATCCGTTCAAATTCATATATCTTACTAATATTATAAATCTGAAAGTTTGTGAGTTTGTGTGTATGTTTGTGTGTATGTTTGTGTGTATGTTTGTGTGTGTGTTTGTTGCTCAATCACGCATAAACTACTGGACGGATTGGGCTGAAATTTGGCATGATGATAGCTCACATTCCCGATTAACATTAAAGCATATTCTTATCTCAAAAACACTTTCGGGCTCCGCCCCAGTGGCTCTGTAGTTCCCCATGTTAATCTTATGATTTTTCATATTTAAAAGGAATTAATGAATCTTAACAGCTGTTTCAATTAAATAAGTTGGTTCTGTTCTATGATGTGCAATAGCGTAAAAGTTACAATGATTACCAACAGGGTGCAGCACTATTAATTTTTTTTTATTTATGACAACAGCTAATTTTCAACCAAAAGGTGAGTGAGCGTAGCGAACGAACTTCAACCTGGTGGCAAGTTAGCGTAGCGAACGAGCTAACCTGAAGGCAAGTGAGCGCAGCGAACGAGCTCCAACCTAAAGGTGAGTGAGCGTAGCGAACGAACTTCAACCAGGACGTGAATGAGCCATGCGAATATTTATGAAGTTAAACGGGGCGAAGCCCGCGGGTACAGCTAGTATATATATATATATATATATATATATATATATGTCCGTTAGCATGATAACTCGAGCAAAAATGAAATTTGGTACAAACGTGTAAACCTACGTTTATTCGAACGAGTTCGCAATCCAGCATGATCGGACCATGGGAACGGGAGTTTACGGGGGGTTTTATGGGGTAAAAATAGGTTTTTCCTATTTTTTACCCAAAAAACATAAAATTTAGCAATTTCTTTTCAAGCCATTTTGTAGAGCTTAAAAAAACAAATAATTTAGTATATTGAAGCGTTATTATGCACCTAATGGTTACGGAGAAAATTCCAAAAAATTGTAAATTTAAAATTCCAATGTTATTCTTATGGAGGATAAGTAGACTGTTGTAGTTTGCTTGTTTATGAACATATTTTGATCGAATTTGAAAAATATTTTTATTTCTTACTAACTATTAACATTTTACAAAAAAAGAACAGTTTTACCCTCCCTGATGCAGCAAACCTAAGTACTTGTTAAACTAATTCTATTTAAATCGGGAATAAATGTTATATTTTTAAGTAGACATTTCAGTGTAAATCCAATCAGTCAAATGGAAATTCGCTTAGTCTGCAGGTTTGCTGCGGCGGGGGTATTTAATATTTTAGTGAAGATTTTGCACCGATTACAGTGTATTTGCTGGTTCTTGTTGATTATTATTGAAATATTTTTCAAGCTTCCTTGGTTAACAGATATATATGTATCTTAAACAATATACCGGTACCGTACGTGCTATATCTTTGTAAAAGTTTAATTCCAAAATAATACTGATAGGAGTTGTAGTATAACCTAATAAGCTTAATGCTTGAAAGTTGTGCTAATGTCTAAATAAATAAATCACTATCTTTAGATGATTAAACATGTTATCAAAGGTATTAATTTCATTAACAATAACAATTTTTAGAAAAGTCACAAGAAATGAGTACCGTACCTAAATTGTTTTTTTGTAGTTATATACTATAACATATACTGTCGTTAAAAAACAAACCAAATGTAGTATGTTTGACAAAGTGGGCTAAGTTACAGCATACAGCACGGGCCTACTCTGTGGCTATAGATAGAGATTCAAATGTAGCCTGCAAAGCGGTGCTGCAACATGTAGTGCATTACACTGTAGCAAATAGTGTATCAGTGTTTGAAGGCATTTTCCTAAAGGTATTATCCGGAGGCCACTTACGTTACTTTTTGGGTAGCAAAACAAAAAAATGCAACTTAAAATATGATTGTATCTAATTTAAAGCCATAAGATGGAAGTCGCCAAAAAATACGCTCTATGGAGGGAAAATTTAAAAAAAATTAACTTTTACAAAGAAAATCAGACAAGAGGCATGACATAAGTAAAATTAAAAACTATCGTAGTTTATTCAGTTTTTGTGACAGCAGAAACTTTTTACATCAGCGTTTTCAGATTAAAATCTTGTTTCTAATGATAGGTATATAAATTACTATGGCTCCCTTGGTCACCTTAATCGACATAATTTCCAGAGTACTTTATTAGTTTCACTTTTCACAAAGAAGACTTGGGATACAGCATTCTTCGTGTCATATTTTTAATTATCTGCCACCAATAGGAGTATGATAAACATGGCGATATACTGAATTGTTATTAAGTTAATTGGCTAATTTCAATGGCAAGGTTTGAAAAAAGTTTTAACCGTTTTGTAGAACCTTCTTCATCTCTGATTAACTTGATAGGATGAGAGTATCTCCTGAATTCATTCAGATAAATTTTAAGTTAATCAAGGGGTTAATTAGTTAACAGTGCTCATTTAATTTAAAATCCTGGAGTTTATTACGAGAGTTGTTGTACCTAAAAAAAAAAACATATCTTCGATGATTTTGGCTTTTAGGATCTTAAAAAGAAAAGGTGCATACACTAGTCTTGGATATAGGTCTCGACATAAAGATTGATGTTTTAATAAGTAGATTTTCAAAATATTGTTTGTAAACAAGAATGAAATCGGGTATTTTTCCGTTCTGAGATACTATTTCGGTATGCACCTTGGAAAAAAACAACAAGATAATCTCGTGTCTAACTGTCTCAAATGTCTACACTAGGTGCAAAAGGTCTAGCGACTCTCGCAATGTTAAAATGCCAAAGCCTTGTTTACATCGAACGGTTATAAGGAAAATGCCCCCTTAAGTTCGGTCTTTTTGTGAGTAGACGGACTATGAAATCAAGGCAGAGATGTTTTGGGCTTCATCTCGGTCCTGCCAATTAAAAAAATGCATTTTAAGTACATGTCTCTATTGCACTATTCCGGCTATTCCCTGGCTTTGCTTTACGTTGATATGCTCCACCATAGATAAAACATACTCCTTGAGGAGTATGTTTGCACTGTTGGATGTGTGCTGTTTGGTTGGAGTGTGTTTTTGCACGCACAGGCCTTTTCGGCCCATATGGGCAAATGCGAGGTTGCCAGTTGCCACACACCTCTTAAAAACCATCATACACACAAAATACTTCAGACGTACCAAAAAACCCTCGGCATTCGTCATAGCTCTCAGAATAAGCAAAGATTCCTAGCATGTATGTATAACCTTATACAGCAAGTTTTAACTTTCAGGAGATGAGGTTGATTCTCCTAGACTACGGGAGAAGAAGAATCTCTCCCGGTCGCTTCCTCCGGTTCTCTCCCGGTTCCTGGAGGATATGCAGAGGGACCTGGCTCTCCTGCGAAGTCTACAAGGATTGTTGTCGTGTCTTAGAGCTCTGGACCAGAACGTTGTTGTCGATCTGCTGGGGATTGAGAGTTCTACCAATGGAAGAGAGAGGGATGTTGATAAACACACCAGAGGAATCTGATATCAGTGAGTGAAAACTTCGAAATTAGGAGTGATATCACACAAAAAGGAACAACTATGTAAACTAATTGTGTTTGTGTTGTAGTGATGATTTTTCGATTAAATAGATTTTGTTGCGATTTTTAATCAATCTCACCAATAAATTTATTTGTCAAAAAAATTACAATTTTGGATCCGTAACTGTCAAACTCTTCAAACATAAGTAAAACAAAACAAGTATAAAACTTCAAAGGAGGATGCTCGTTTTGACTATTATTTATAGAACTGGACATGCCAGATGCCATTCTCATTTTAAAGTTGCAGATTTCAAATAAAAATTAACGTTGTAGAATTTAACCATCGACTGAGTTCGTTTATGTGAGTTACTGATTTTTGCCGAATACGAAAATTTTTAAAGCCAAACTGAGAGTACACGATTTTACAACCAAAAATACAACAAAAAAGGAGGGAAATTCAGATTAAGGCCTGTGACATGGCCTTTCAACCATATTATGAAAAAATTCTTCAGATAGTCTTTAAAGAAGGTATGTCTACCTCAAAATTGAAATTCAATAAATTGCACGTCTTGTTAAACTAATTAATGTTATCGATGTTTTGGAATGTTTAGTTGTTTCCGTCACAAAGAAATCCTTAAGCGGAAGACGAGTAGGCTAAGGCCGGGCGCGCACTATCCCGACCACGACCACGACCACGACCAAACGCCCGACCGGTGGTTGTCATTCACCATGCGACCAGAGCACGACCCGACCACGACCCGACCAAGGCAGCGAATGTTTTACAAACTTCAGTGTCAAGATGATTGTTGAAGAAGTAGTTGTTATGGTGCATTTGTATTGTAAGTACGTTAAGCGGAAGAAGACACTGTTAACTGTTAGGTCTGAAAGGGCATTTTGCAACATTTTATGAAGAGCTACGTCAATATGAAGACAGGTTTCAAAAGTGTCAAAATCCTGCGACATTTTACCAAATGAGTCACTTCACAGACCGGCGCAAAAAACTAGTGCTCACCGTTTGATTAGTCTAGGAATATTCGGGGTTGAGTGGTGTACTGGTCGGGTCGGAGGCAAGTCGGGGGTAGTGCGCGTCGTCCCATTACATTGTGTGCTATTTTTGGCTGCAACGACCAGCGGGTCGGGCCCGACCAAACTGGAAAATTTTGGTCGTGCGACCAGGGCCCGACCAGGGTCCGACCAGCCGACCAGTGCGCGCTGTTCCATTTATTCCTATTATAAAACTGGTCGTATCCGACCAGTCGGAGTCGTGGTCGTGGTCGTGGTCGGGATAGTGCGCGCCGGCCCTAAAGCTAAACTGTTACTCCCGTAGCTCAAACAAATCAAGGTACGAATTCAGATACGGTATATTATTTGATAAGGAAAGGCTCGTAACTAACACGGGAATGTTGTGTGTCGAGGGAATATGTTCAAGAGAATTTAATTTCAAACTTTCAGGAATCCCTTTACGCTGTATACTAACAAAGGGATTTCAACTAAATTTAGATGATTGTTGGTTTACCTCTCGTATTGCAGTTTGCAGTCGCCGACAAGTAATATGTGTCTCAATCATACATTCGGCGAATCAAAGTAGAGTTTAGTTCAGGAATGTTTTGTGTTTGATGGAGGCAGTAAATGACAATACTTGGCAAATACACGAGGAAACGCATTGTATATTGACTATATATACTAAGTTAGGCACTACCTCTCCCATCTGCTTGGTGTAAGCTTTAATTGATTCATCATCGTCAAGTACTTGTAGTTTACGTACCATGTTGAGGTCTTGGATTGTTGTACAATACCGTTTTGTTTTTATGTGCCATCTGAAAGGACGACTTAATTAAAGGATCTTTTATGTCTTCTTCAAAAAATGAGAAACTAGTAGGCCTATCAATGACTTTTAGATACTCTAATAGTAGGCAAAATGAAAAAAAAAAATAATAAAATGACCAAAAAGTGAAGATGAGGGTTGAACGTCAGTAGTATACTCTATATGATTCGAGCATATTCTTGCTGAGCAAATACTGTTTACAAGTGGTATATTAAGATTGCATGTCTACTTCACTACCGAATGGATAGTGAAAAAATCACTATTGAATAGTAAACTGAACATTTAAATACCAACTCTAAGCCAAACCAACACAGTCACAGAGTGGACTTTAAAGTCTATAGTGGACCAAATTTTAGCCGATTTTCATTCGATCTGAAGTTAGTTTAATGAACGGCTCACAGAGAGCGCTACATAAGTTATTTTACCTTTATTCTCCAAACTTACGTAGTTGAGTGGGTATAAAGATTTTGTAGTTTTTAGTAATTTACCCTTTTAGTTTTGCTAGGGTAAAAAAAAAACAGAAAACATCAGTTGACAGCAGTGTAACCAATCAATAGCTCAATTAAGCTATGTAATTTTTATTTAAAAACTGGCTACAATTTTGCATACCGTAGTAAAAAAATATCGTTCTGCCCATAGTACTGTATAAGCGTGTATAAAAATTGGACGTTGCCAAATTGGTCTACCGTGGATCGTAAACATTAAGAGAAAAAATAGTTTGTTTAAATTGTAGTATATAGTATAAATATAAATATAGTAGTACAAATATACAAATATAGTACAAATAGTACAAATATAGTATATATAATTGAATATTGTATGAATAGAGCGTGAGAAAACTAATATGAGCGACATGAACGTATCCAAATCCATAAAATCACCGTTACATATGAAGTTCGTGCTCCCATAAAGGATTAGTGTAAAACTACGTCGGAATTATGAACCGTCCTGAGCTTATAATGACTATGTATAGGGTGTAGCGAGGTAACGTGGAATTCATCTCTTGAATATTACCGTTAAGTCTATTTTACGTCGTTCATAAACAGTGTAAATCCTCACCGAACACCTGGTGCGCTATTTTTATTATTTATAACGCGGAGCATTTTTAGCTGCGATCATTTGAAGCGTTATATTTCTAACGGCACTATTCCTCTGTAATAAGATGGGGACGCAGCGAAGGCGTATTTTAACCCAAATATGAATGAGGATGTAGATGTAGATGTAGATATTTTACAGTTTTTTTTTTTTCAGAACGATCAGTTTCAGTCCAATGACCAATAACAGCCCGGTCTAGTTTCAAATCAAAGACCGCGGAATATTTCAGGATCGAACGGAGTCCTCCTGATTGCCAAGCGAGCTCTGTAACCTACTCAGATTTTCAAAGATATTGACGTAAGCGAGGAAATTATTTAATTTCATAGAGGAAATCCTCTAACTTATAAACCCATTTTGTATATAAAATTATTTTATTTTCTGTTCGTGTTTATATCAACGATGGAGCGTGTTTATACATCGCGTCCTATGAATACTTTATACTTTTTAGTGAAATGGCGACCATACAAAGTAGGTATTTTAAGCCAAGTATGAATGGAGATGAGTGTAGGGGTAATGGTTAGCTGGTCCCGTAATCCGAGGGTCGAAAAAGGTTGGGGCAATAAAACGACTCCACTGGTCCCGAGAGGTCCAGGTAGTTTTGGGGTGGCTAATCCAGTGGGGCAATGAGGCATGAAGCGTGATGTAAACAAACAATAAATACTTGCAGTCCTGTCCTCAGCAATGAATGGTGCGAATTTTGGAATTCCCTCGCCAGGTCATCATCCCATCGCGAAGCTCTAAACAATGCATCACTTCACTCTACACGTCAACAACAGCAAATACTTGCAGCGCTCTCGGTATCAAAGAATGTTGCGAATTTGGGGTTTTGTAGCACTCACCTACCATAAGGGGAAGTTGATAAATATGCCTTTAAACGGGCGGACCTCGTTTGCGCTCTAATCCTCTGTCAGGTAGAAAGTTGATCTCGTTTGCGCTTCAAGCCCAGACGGGCCCACAGGTACCCCATCAGGCAAATCTCGTTTGCGCTTTTTGGCGGCATCATTTGTAAAATATATCCGTTTGTATTAAATACGGATTGTAATTCTTGCTCTATCGTATAATTAGTTATAAGTAGACACCTAACATGCAGAGTCGAATGGGTCAGAGTTCAGAGTTATGACTTGCTTTCTTATTGAATATCATACTCGATTGTGAACTACAGTATATTAAAATCCTATATTAAAATTAAGTACTAGCCTAGTATTTTCTTAAGCTGTACTCTTTGTATTATATTATGGGCTTATTAAAACAATACACATTTATACTTTTAACTCAGTATATTTCCCCATTCCCATGCGTAAACATATTTATACCAAAAAAATATCTGAAAAAGAGTATGTTTTATATATATATATAGTAATTGAAATATTATAGATGTTATTGATTTAACTATTTACAATACAAACAACAAACAATAAAAGAAATATATACATAATACTTAACCCTATATTTAAATAGTTATTTGTGTAACTAGTGAGCAAAGGCCTTTTGCACTCGTGTTACACATTATATTTTTCCTACAGTCACTATAAAGCATATAAATAATTAGTCTTTCAAACACTATACAACACGTTTTTAGGTTCAGCTGGCAACACAAATAGGTGCCCTAGAGGAAGTTAGTCTCTGGTCCGTATCACTCCGCTATTTTTTCCTCGGCAAGCAATGTGCTCCGCAACTTAAGAAAATAGTTCCGTATATTTTTGTAATTTGCAGTGGTTTCCGCGCCTAAAAAAATGCTTTAAAGATATTTTCTTGTTTATTAAGATTGTATGAGTGTTTTAAAACGTTTAAAAGAAAAGTCCAGAAAGTTCAGAAATACCGAAAAGAGAACGTAAACTATGAACACGAAATGACAGGTTAAATCGTAGTTATAATAGTCAATCAGCTGTTCATAGTATTATTATCTTCAAGTGTTGCCAACCTATTTCCAAGCGTACACGGATTACGTGCATAATAGAACCACGCTGTTTTGTGTTGTTTCGTTAGAATCCTGATGTGCGCCAAAGTGTAAGCCGTACGACAAAGTATAAACCGTACGACAAAGTATAAACCGTACGACAAAGTATAAACCGTACGACAAAGTATAAACCGTACGACAAAGTATATATATGCAGCAATTAGCAGCTTTCTGTACAATAAACAGTACAAGGGAGCCAACTTTGTCGGGTGACTGTAGGAAAACTTATTTCTCTACAC